ACGAAACTGAAGATGTACAAGGTCATTTTGCTCACAACACTCTTGTACGGAGCGGAGACTTGAACATTCTACGCGAATAAAGCTCGGAGGTATAACCATTTCCATCTTAGCTGTCTCCGCCGGATACTGAAGATAGGATGGCGAGAAAGGATTTCGGACACGGAGGTCCTGGAGAGAACGGGAGTTCTCAGCATGCAGGTCACGCCCAGGCAGATATAACTGCGCTGTAGAGGTCACGTGGTACGGATGGATGATCAGCTACTACCCAAGCGACTATTCTATGGAGATGTCGCTGAAGGTGCTCGTCGCAATGGAGGACCAAAGAGGCGCTACACAGACACTCTGAAGAACTCTACGAAGCGTCTCCAAATCCACATGGCGACCTGGGAGGAACTCGCGCAGGACCGATCTACGTGGCAAAGAACGGCAAAAAATTGGCACAGCAATCTACGAAGCCAGTCGGATTGCCGCTGCCAAGACTAAACGGACAGCTCACAAGTTTCGTAATCAACGGCCGCACACTGTTACAGCCCAAGCCCTTCCAACCTGTCCGCACTGTCAACGCACCTTTCGTGCACACATTGGCCTGATCGGCCACCTCCGGCCGCAGTGCACAACTCCTCTGACGGCACCTACTTCTAGGGCGTCAAACACTTCAACAAACCCTTCTCTACCCAGCACTTCGACTGCAACAACCCTCACCACAGATGCTTCGCTGCTCTTTTCCACCGGTACCGCCCCACTCACAACTCCCTCCACACCCTCCGACGCATCATCGTTTCCCACCACCAGCGCCATCACATCTTTTGGCGCTGGGGGTTCGAGCCTTATCTTTCTTCAATGAAATCGTGCATTCACCTCACGCATTGGCCTAGTCGGTCGCTTGCGAATCCATCACACAGAGACTGGTGAACTAGTGCGTGGAGCCCCAATACACAGAAGAGACTGCCGCCTCCACTGTCTATTCTGAAATCATTTCAGTCACGATAGGATGCCCGCTTTATACCGAGCTTCTTTCTGACCGCTAACAAAAAGTATGTTCTGTATAAAGTGCCTATTTCTGTAGTCGATGGACCTCAGGTCAGTTTAAGTAGACGACCTCCTAGCCACCATTTCTAATTTTCAGGAATTTCAAGGAAACTGCATTTTGATAATCGGGTTGTTCCGCGTTACGTTAAACGATAATACAGGTAAGGAAGATCTACAGGTAAAGATCAACAACATTTCTAAATAAAATAAAATAAAAAAAGCATATGACAATTATTAAAGTATATTTTACTGGCTATCCTAATTCCCCCCCATAAACCCCTATAACTACCGTTTCCACAGGAAAAAATACTGATATAAGGGGTTTATAAGGTGCACTACTTAAGCGACTGTTGAGAAAGTGAGTTTTTGCATAATCTCTCCTATAGAGATAGCCGTTGGAGCCCAATTTAAAGACCCACTCAAAACTGCAAACTCACTGCTGAGAAATATGAACGGCCATTACCAAGGTCAAATAGAAAAGTGCCCAAGATCACTTGAATACTGTACAATAAGTTAACTCTTTTAATACTCTTTGTTTAGACATTTAGCCGACTAATATGTATAGGTCACCCTTAAGCATGGTAAGGTCAAAGTAAATATAGGGAAATTTGATCTGTTTTTGAGTTTTTTGAATATAAGTAATAAATTTGCTGCTAAGAATTAAAGAACTCACGGTTCTTTTTGTACTTGAGTGGCTTTCTCTATACTGGATTACTTTTAAGGACCGATCTGAGATTGCAAATTCAACAAAAAGTGGCTGAAGATTTTGCGGAAACTGTCAGCCTTGTGTCCGGTCTGTTTCTAATTTACGCATGAACGGAAATTATTAGATAGAAAAAGGTATCTTGCCACATGGTTGAAATTTAAGATAAACTGTTTTCGGCCACGGGAAAATAAAGATGTCTTTTCACCGCCCCAAATCTTGCTGCAGTTAAACAATGTACGGGAAAACATATGTATTGATGTGGCACAGTCCCTCAAAATTGGGCATAAAATAATTTTTAAATATAAAGCATTTCCTGGAAAATAATTCCTTTCTTTTAATGTACTTTCA